CTATTATTATTATTATTATTATTATTATTATTATTATTATTATTATTATTATTATTATTATTATTATTATTATTATTATTATTATTAATATTATTAATATTATAATATAAATCGATCGATCGTTTCGCGAGCAACTGTGTACATATCGATACTTCATAACGATCGATTGCTTTTTTTTTTAAACTTTATGTCTCTCGATAATTGATCGATATATATATATATATATATCTCATATTTATTCGTCCAGACATTTCTGAATTAAATAATTTATTATATTCAATTAATTTGTTAATTAATTAACTGTATATATTCGGTCGAAAGTTTGCGCCCTTACGTTCCATTTGCTTTTTAATTTTTAATTAATACTTTTATTATATATTATTATTATTATTATTATTATTATTTATATATGTACAAAAAATCATATATCGATCGTCTAATTCTATGAACAGGTTTCATTGGATCGATCTAATTCAATGACAAAGTTCGCAATATTGAATTATTTCTTTTAATTATCAAAATTTATTTCTAAAAAATTTGATTAATTAATATTCTACCTAATTACGTTAATGGTATTCTTCTAAACGGTGCCATATATACATATATGTCTGTATGTATTATTTATGATCTTTTATTTTATTTTTTATTTTGAAAGATCGGATATAAAATGAAACATTTGAAATTTTGCCGTGCGATAATGAAAAGATGGCGTAGCTCTCTTCTTCCACTTATCGACATTGATGATGGTCATGATGTTCAAAATAATAAGAATAATTTGAGAAAATATATAAATCATTAGTTTGTTTGATAAACTACGAAGCGAGATATACTCTTGAGAATAATAATTAATTGCCATTTTTAAAACATAGGACCAAATCTATTTCTTCCGATAATCGTTTAGATTTCATTATTTTTTGTTTGTTTAACAAATCCAATTTAACAAATTTTAACAAATAAAATTGTTAGATCTAACAAAGTTTTTGACGATTTTTATCCGTTCGTTCGAAACTCTCATCCGCAATTTGTCGTAAATAATAAAGATTTCAAAGAATATATATATATATACACATGAAAGAACTTCAAAACAAAATATGTAATGATAATAATAATAATAATAATTCAAAAGAAATAAGATAAACAATAGAAACTTTTCGCAAACATTCGAAATCGTGTCGTCTAATTAATATTTAATATGCGAATGTAATATTTAAAAGAAAATAAAAAAAAAAGAAATAAGAAGAAACCGATAAATTATTAATAGATAACTAATGTATAATCTATATCATGCCGGTACTGCCATGTTATATTATATTATATTAAATTATATTATATTATATTGTATTATATTACATTATATTACACGAAGTTTAGCAATTTGGGACGAACTTAAACAAACCCGCCTTAATATCATTACTCGTATATTAATGTATCGTCCATTATTGATCAAGTCAAGTCAAATCAACTCAATGATCACGTAGTATATTAATCTTAGTCAATTTGTAAACAACTACTTTTCATTAAATCCATCAATTATATATTTATTATCATTGCATATATCGTTTCAGGCTCGTAAAAATTAATTTTGTCTCTTCTTTGAAAATAAAATTTGTTAGAAAATTGCCGTGTGATGAACGTATGCATTAAAAAATATTTTTAAAATTCGCGCACAAATTTGGCGGCTTTTTTTTTTTAAATTTCAAATTGATCGTAAGAAACATTTTTTGTTGAGTACCGGAACATGATGGTAATTCTTCATATTTTTTTTTAAATTACGCACACATATTTGTTATTATTATTAAGTTTAAAAGAAACAACAAAAGAAAAAGCTTTTTACTAGCTATTCAATTAATTAATTAATTTGTTCATAATAGACATACAAAACGATTTAATAAAATAAAATAAAAGAGGAACCTGAAACTAATTCGTAATATTTATAAGATTTAATAATTATCACACAAGAATATATATATAAAAAAAATGGGAGAGAAAGGTTTAGCGATTATACATCATTTTTTTATATCAAGCTCGCATATAAACACACGTTTCATTACAATACTCGAGAGACACTGTCTATTAAATTAATTTATTAAAAGTATGAATAATTGTATGTAATTAAAATAACATATTTTATAAGGTAACTATCCCATAAGAACGCGCTATAACAGTTAAAAAAAATAAAAAAAATATTACAAAGAGAGAAAAAAAAGAAAAAAAATCACATAGGCCAAGCGGACGAATGAGAATAA